TCTAAAGAGAAAGGAAAAAATGAAATCGCATCATATGACCCCTTTAAACGAATTGTACTTTGGTTTGAATGGATGACACATAACTAACAAAAGTGTTACTTAATGACATTATCCCACAGGAAGTGACATCATGTTTGGTGAAAACAGCTTCTATACTGTTTGATCAAACTCAAATCAGTTAAATAGATTCAACTAATATTGGTTACAAATATAAAAAGGAATTTCAAGTTTACTGTCAATCCCTATTAAACTATGAAATAAACAGTTAAATAAATAATTATATATCATAATCAAGTGTGTAGGTTTGATTTAACAGCAGACAACACGCCCACCATCCAACATTTCCACATTTATGATAGACTTTGACCACAGTTTCATGTCATCCAAAGTCTTTATTTCTAGCTATGGTAGCCAGCATATTCATAATTCTCTTTTTTATGTTAGCATTTTTTTTATTAGATTAGATTCAACTTTATTGTCATTATGCAGAGTACAAGTACAGAGCTAGTGAAATGCACTTTACTCCTGCACTGATGAGCAAACGTCTCGTTAAGATAATGAGTGTGAGGGACTGTTATTAACCCGACAGGAGCTGCTGGGACATCAATACAACCAAACACACACACTGTAAAAAATGACTTTTCTGATGCTGTAAACAGATTACTAGAGTATGTTCTACAAGGAGAATTATTTTGTGCTATTCAGCCTTTCAGATTCAAAATTTTGTGTTTAATTGCTTGCTGTTTCTTCGTAATTATTTGTGAAATTTACTTTACTTAAACAGAATAGTAGTGGAAATATTATTTTATGAAAACATTTTACTGTAATGTTGAAATAAATATATACGTGTATGTATTAGGGATGTGCGCGACGACTAACTTGACTGTCGTTTAAACGAAAGTTTTGTATCCGACTAGTCGACTAGTCTAAAAGCAAGAAACCCCCAAAAGATGGTAAGAAAAAAAAAAACCCTCTGTGCATGCGTGTAGCATATATAATAGCTTATATTTGAAATACTTAAAATATGAATCACACTGTCAAATCCCTCAATGAATTCCGCTTGCCGCACACTTGCCTCGCGTTATCATCATTTCATTTTAGGCGGTCGTTAAAAAATAAAAGCCAAAAATCCCTGCCGGTACCGAGACTCAAACCCGCGACCTTTGGGTTACAAGTCCGACTCTAACCATTAGGCCACGACTGTTTCTGGCAGGTAACAAAAATGACCATCAACAATTGCTGAGCTTGTGAGCTACACTCACTAGTGATGTGCAGAAGTGAAAATCCTTGGACATGCTATGCCAAAAAGATTAACAACAATGCTTCAAATAAAACTAAAATAACAAAAATTCTGTTAATATTTTGCACAATTCTTGTTTCTTCAGGAATGACTACAGTAATATCTAAGCTCCCACAATTTTTTTAATATTTAAAAACTGAAATTAATGGCTAGTTTCCAATGAACGGTACAGTACAGTTCAGTACAGTACGATTCGGTACGGGTTAGGGATGTGCGCGATGACTAATTTGACTGACGTTTAAACGAAAGTTTTGAATCCGCCTAGTCGACTAGTCTAAAAGCAAGAAACCCCCAAAAGATGGTAAGAAAAAAAACCCTCTGTGTGTGCGTGTAGCATAGCCTATATTTGAAATACTTAATCTATGAATCACACTGTCAAATCCCTCAATGAATTCGCTTGCCGCACACTTGCCTCGCGTTATCATCATTTCATTTTAGGCGGTCGTTAAAAAGAAAAAAAAAGAAGAGTATACACTCAATGTTGGCCAAAGCATAGCTTATTTATTCAAATCAGCTGGGGAAATGCAGAAAATCAATCAATAGCCTGACAGAATTCTTCATCTTCTTATAACGTTAGCCAACATATTAAAACACAAGTCAAAAACAATAGGAAGGTTTATCAAGAAATAGCATTAAAACGGCTTTTAAAAACGTACTTCGTGTAGGCTATATCGTCTAAAAACAAAATGCAACAATGCCCATTTTACTTACTCAGACCATGCGTTATTTGTTCAGTGAAATTATCAACGTGGTCTGGTGAAAGACGGGACCTGAGGCGATTAACAATAAAATTCCTGCACTTGAAAAAACGCCCTCGGCAGGAACTGAAGTCGCAGGCAACGCAGAGATAACGAAAAGCAAGCCGATAG